GCAAAGTTTCCTCACTTTCGCAAAAAAACAGTCTCCTCTTGGCTTATATCGAAATCCTCCGACATTCTTCTTTATAAATACTCGTTTTGTACTTCTAATTCGTGACCGTTGTTTTGTTCTGATCTCTCCACTGCGCTTCCACGTTCGTCACTTCTGAGCAGCGCATGCGCAACGCCAACGTCCTACGTCATCCGCCCGGAACTGCTTCCGTTTACAACAGTGAGCGCAAGTTAGATTAAATTGATTATTACGTTTTAAATATCAGCCCTCTACGAACACCTTGGCAATTGAATCACCATTGGCTAGTAAATTTTTTAGTTTACTTGCCAGACTGATATACTATTTTTATATATACAAAAAGCTTATGTTTGTGAAATGACACAGCTTTTTTTTTTTTTTTTTTTTATGAGCTACTGGATTAATGAATATTAATCAGGTTGTGTGCGTTCACTCGAACTGATTTGTTGAAATCAAAACAGGGACGATAATAGGTCAGCACCAGCCAATGAGATTTCTGTTTGCGCATTAGCTCCACCCACTACCGGAGAAAGCGGTAGTTCTTAAAAGCTGAAGAATTCCAAAGGAACTCCGTTATTTTGACAGCAAAATACAACAAAGAGTATCGTTTACATGTAGTGCCATAGGTAGAGCGTCAATTCTCTCTCTCCCTCTCTCTGTGAAACAAAGCGACGGCGAGTCGTGCGCCGTTCACACTAGAGTTTGCGGTACGTTAAATGCAGGTGCGTTGCACATCCATTCAGTTGAACTGAAACACAGCACAGATCGCTTGGCAGAGAGTGAAACTCTGATGCGCTCAGTCAGAGAGTGTTCGGCGAGTGAAAATATATCTGAGCTAAACTTATACTTAGCCTCCAACTCACACACTGGCGAGTAAAATCTGAGAATTTATTAGCAATTGGCTAATATTAGACATCATTTAGCCACCCAGAGTGAAGATTTAGTCGCATATGCGAGTGATTTACTCGCAATGTAGCGGGTTGAATATGGTTATTTTTCTTACAAAAACGCATTGATTTGCTACAGGAGGACTTTGTTCACCCCCCGCAGCCGTGTGAGGCACTTTTTTATTATGGATGGATGCGCTTTATTTAACTTCTTTTGGACTGATGCACTGCCACACCCGCTGACTGCCATTAAACGGCTTTGAAGATCAAAGACAATTTTTAATATAACTCTGACTGGATTCATCTGAAAGAAGAAAGTCATATACACCTAGGATGCCTTGCGGGTGAGTAATTCATGGGCTAATTTACATTTTTGGGTGAACTAACTCTTTAAGGGGGCGTTTTCCCCCACTCTATCCATTAATTATTATGAATTGTCAAAAAATGTGTGTTGACAAAAAACTATAAAAACAAACAAAGTCAAATAGGGCTAAATGAATAACATTTTAATAAAAATGCTGCAGCAGCGGGGAAGGTGAACTTGCATGCGTTATTTTAATTTGTGTGCTTGTATTTTTTTTACCTAAAACCTACAGTACACAGACATTTTTGTGGACGTGCATTTCAGTGGGCTTAAACAGATCGCACTTTACATCAAATTTAGTTCACAAACAACTGACAGTTGTGACCTTAAATATATTCGACATTAGTGACTTACATTTCTCGCCATCAGTCGTGCATGCACTCAGGGGATTCCCGGTTCTTGCCAGACTTGTGAATTCAGTTCACTGAAGACTCGCTCTGAACGAATCATTTGAATCAGTGGGTTGCTGACTCGAGAACAGCTGCAATCGGAATCGTTTGGTGCGATTTGTGAACCGATTTAACAGGTTTATTGAAAAGAATCAGTTCGTTCATGAATCGGACACCGCTTTTGCATCTCAGAGCGCGTGATGATTTCTTTATTTCAAAATAAGGTTATTAGCGTTATTAGCAACCACAGAGATGGTACCTGGCAACCACCCACAACACCCTATTTGTGGCAGGGTATTCACTGCACTACAACTATCGGCATATTCTAATTCTAATAGTTCCAATATCTTTGGACAAATTAATTTATGATTTTATTTATTCATTTACCATTTTAGATTTTAGATACCATATAGAGATATCATTCGATACATTTTTATTTCTAGTTCAAGAAATAATTCATAAAGCATAACTAGAAACTATTACACTACCGCTTGAAAGTCTGGGATCAATAATATTAGATCTGATCTCCACACAAGTAATATTGGATCTAGTCTCTTTAACAGATCCCGTCAGAAGATATCAGTTTTGTCTGGTATCCAAAATTGTCGGTAGAGTTTTGTCTGGTACCCAAAACTGTATTAACTAAAAGTCTGTTATCCTGAGATAACAGATGAAGCCAAGGAAGAGCAGAGAAATAAAAAAAAAAATTAAGAAAATTAAGAATTAGGATGGAAAAAAATTAGGAGGATTTATCGATTTTCGTTGCATATGTTTCAATTCACAATCTTTGTCTGACCAGCATTTATGCTCACCAAGGTTGCATTTACTAGATCAAAAACACAGTAAAACAGTCATATTTTAAAATATTATTACAATTTAAAAACAACTGGTTTCTATTTCAACATGTAATTTATTTCTGTATTTAATTTATTCCAGCAGCCATTGCTCCGGTCTCCAATGTCACATGATCTTTCAGAAATCATTCTATGAAACATTTCTTATTATCATCAATGTTGAAAACATTTGTGCTGCTTAATATTTCTGAGGAAACCATAAGACATGTTATTTTTGGGATTCTTTGAAACAGAAATGTCTTTACTGTAATTTTTTTATCAATTTAATGCATCCTTGCTGATCAGCAGTATTAACTTCTTTCAAAATAACTTTTCCATGTTTCCATGTTCTTTTAAGATTTTATAAAATTTGATAATTATTCCAGGCCTTTGAAATTCTCTGGATTGTAGGAACACTGGTCAACAAATCAGTTTATTTATAACCAGAATTAGAATTCACATGAAGCAGCAGCTTGTTTTTCCAGTTTAAATAATTTTTCAAATAACCAGCTATCCAGTAACTCATTCCCAGACAAAATGCAGACAGACTGTAACTGTTCTGCAGCTTTGAACAGACATTCTAACTGATACTTCCAGAGAATAATCAGGCATCAATCGTACAGTTATTCCAACAACAAATAGCTAAGAGCAATCATGTAAATCCTATTAAAGTGGTGAATCCTCTTGTAGAGGCAGTTTTCAAGATTACCAGACAGTGGCAGCATTGGCTGATATGCAGGAGGAGGGGCTGACACTGTAAAAGATGACCTCAGGCTCTACTGCTAGACACATATAATCCACCCTGGCCTTGCAAAAGTACAAGGCGTTTTCATTGGCTCCCAGCTACAAGATTTGGAATAATCCAAATGCATCTCCTGTAACGCACAACATCATGACCTGGCATAATGAAACTTTGTGTGCATGTTGATTTATTTTATGCACTTGGTTTCTGCTTACTGATAGCTGTCAGATGAAAAGGGTGTGTTCTCTACCTCAAAGTCAGCAATTATGTGTGCAGCAGTTTGTCAAGGTATCCATGGAAACAAAGCAAAAATAAATATGGGAGGTTAGGGGCAGGAAATAATAATGAAAATAATGAAAAAATTGGTGGAAAAAGACAAAAAAGTCACAAGGGTTTAGGCGTGTCGTCATGTAAATGACACGCACTGTACAGGGAAATTTACATCACAATTAAGTACAACTAGACCAAATCGTGTTGTTTAAAAAAAAAAGATACTGGGTTATATATTAACTTCAAGAAAGATAAACAGAAGCTTCAGGCAAAAAGGCCCCAATAATCCCCTTTTTTATCATACGACAATGCATTTCTAATTTATATCTTCTAAGCATTCCTGCCCAAACGTCTAAAGACGCACACATTCAGTGCCCACAGCATGCTCTAAAAGAAACCACAAAACAGCTATTTGCTTAGCTCTAGACTCCCCTCCATCATGCATATAAATGGGGCCACCTTCTGCAAACTCTGACCCTTTGATTACATAAGACACCAAGAGGAACACGAAGCTGCATTACTCAAACTCTCTTTATGTCCCACAATGCCGTTCACTTCCGCAGTAACCATGTTACACAATCTGGGCTCACATCTCTGCTGGAAAAAATGCAAAGCAAGACATTTTCTCTATTTCTTTTAGATTGAAACATTATGTTATTTTAGCATCATTTACATACTATTATGGGTTTTTATATTTGGAATTGATTTTTATATTTTATATATTATTTTGAATTGAGTTTTTATTTTTGTATTTTATGTTTTCATTTTAAATAGTACTAACAGTAATTTTTTGAGAAAGTGTTTTTGTAATTTCTAGTAACTGTTTTAATATATTGTTATTTTATAAAATATATTGTTTTTTTATTCATTTTTATTTCGGTTTTAGTTATTTTAGTACATTAACAAATTAAATGAATGAGAAATGTTGCTTTGGCAACTAAATGAAAATAAGTTGAAGTTTGTTTATATATTTTCTTTTCTTTTATTTCAGTCGATGTTTATATTATTTTAAGTAATGACAGTGTTTCTTTTTATTGTTTTAGTTTTAGTTAACTATAATAACCCTGGCTTCAAAACACTGTGACAGAACTACATATGTCATCAACTGCTGGGAAAACAGCACTGCTTTCTCAAATGTCAGACTATAAAGTTGAGGACAGGGGTGGGCTAAGGGGGATGAAGCCTCGAATGTTTTTACTATGCCCTGACCGAAACATCACTGAGTTTTCATGCGCATTAAAATAATTTCTATTAGTACTGCAGATTTGCTCTCTGCACATCCAACAGTGTCTACTGTCTACTGTCATTCACTCCCGACAAGACCCGCCCCACTGAGGCTCGTACTTCTGATTGACATGTAAACTGGCCAACCAACGATAAAGTCTATATAATATAGTCTATATAATAGTCTATAAATAGTAAGTGATTTAAATTGTAGAGACAACATTGTCTTTTTTGCTCTATTTCTCTAAAAGAAAATGGTTCCAAACAAAGCCATGTTGAGCATCTCTGTAGCAGCACACAGAGGTTTCCTTACTCAATGAATTTGCATTTTTTAACAAATCGGGTGAGTCGATGATTCACTGATCCATTCAAAAAAACACTTTCTTACTTCGTTCCTGAATGAATCAGTCGTTTTGAAAGAATCGATTGAATAAATGACTCAGTGACTCGCTTACTGAATTGTGGTTTGCCGTCACCTACTGGTAATTTTAGTTTCACATTTGAAAGTATCGTTCTATTTTTTTTCTATCATCTTTATTTCTATATAGACGTTTTTATATTTAAAACATCTCATAACATTATTTATGCAATTTGTAAGTGCAGTGCAAATGCATGTACAAGTGCTAGAAATAAAAAAAGGTGTATAGAACCCTGCATGTTTAATTAGGCCTATACTTGGCTTTGTTTTAAATATATATTATAATACATATAATATAATATATATAATATCTATCTCTCTCTCTGTCTCTCTCTCTCTCTCTCTCTCTATATATATATATATATATATATATTTGTAAGCGTATCCCATGTATTTTGACACATATGTCTCTGGGCTAAACCCCGGATATCTACTCACTCTAGAACCGCCACTGGTTGAGGATGATCAAGTATAAGTGTACATACTCTTCAAAAAACTGCATCAAGTAAATCATAAAACAATAAACAAGCAAAATTGTTTTGGCATTTGTGTCTGAGGTTTAAACGAAAGAATTCAAAGCTTATCTCAACGTTCAAACCAATCACAAATGCTAAGACGGATGATAAACACAAAGACTGCTTTGCACCTGCAACACATCAACAGCAATAAGGGCAGGAAGACTCCACATACCAGAAAACAGTGAACCAAGAATGTCCCACACCCCAATCCAGCAGCCCAGAGGAGAATCACACGAGATCTTGAGCTCACCAGGACACCCAGATTGCTGCACTGACAAAAGAGAATCATTGCTAAGGTATTAGGGCAAAGCAAGAAAGAGGAAGTGGTTTCTGGACAACTGGACTACAGTGACATTCTTATGTGAAAGTTTTGGAAGTCTGCAATTCACTCACTGAATACATTTTACAATAAAAACTGAACATCTTCACATTCAAGAAGATACAGCACATTAACACTGAGTCCAAAACAAATGCAATGTGATAAAACAGTCAAGTGTTTAATCGAAACTCTTCCATGTTAATCTGAGTTTTTCCGAAACAGCGTTGAGCATGAAGTCATTTTGACAGTCACTATTTTTGCTGTGTTCTGTGTAGCACCACCTACAGTAAAATATCACTGGTTCAAAATCCTGTTCTGCATAATTTATTTTATATGTCAAATATGTTTTACATGGCTGTGGTTTAGTTGGTGTAATACAAAAATCAATCACAATACAGTAATTGTAATATGGCTGAGATAAAAAATGTGGTCAAAAGACTAATTTGGGTTAACTGGAGATTTTGCTATGGGTTTTTATAATGTGATTTTTCAATTTGTAAGTAAATCAAGGTCTGTGATAAATATAAATTGGCGATGTTGACTAGGGGTGTAACGGTTTGCGGAAAAAAAATCGAACCGTACGGTTCTCCACACAGTTCAGCACACGCTAGGACCGCGGTTCAACTTAAATCTGCCAACTGCATCTGTAATATGGTTTGCTATAAATAACACGTAAAACAAACAGGGTTCGGCTAATATATGATTCTGTTAACAGAGGACGCGAGCTCGTGTGCGCAGTGAGAAGATTTGAGCGTGCGCTCATCCGAAGCGCGCAAACCTCAGAACGCACGCAAATATTAAGCTCTCTCTGAAGTATTGTGTTTAAATGGACAAATTCACACAAAAAGTATGTCAAAATGCCTGTCTTGGTAAGTATCCTATAGCAGACATAGCCGCCTGAACGTACTTTATCAGTGCACTGGATCAGTGCATTCTCTTAAAGTGACAGCACTTTCTTAATATTAATCAAACAGCAACAACAAAGAAATCACTCACTGCTCTTGATTGAATAGCTTTTGTAACTTTAATAAAGATTCATCTTTAATTTATACAGTCAAATATGCAATGCTGTTTTACATTTCATTACTTTATTCAATTTCTGTACCTAAAAACTAATGTTACACCGACCTAAAAAAAAACTGAAAATCACTGTTGATTTTATTTGTATCTTTATATTCTATTGTATTTATTTGTGCTGTTGCGTGTAGTTAGATAGATTATTCTTATTTTCTTTATTTTTATTTGACAGTATAGTTTTTGCCTAAACATAGCACATACCGAACCACACCGAAACTGTGACTCTAAAACCGTGATACAAACCGAACCGTGAGTAAGTTGAACCGTTTCACCCCTAATATTGACCCATACTGCAAAAAAACATTTTTATTTTTTTTTGGTAACTACTAGTGTTGTCAAAAGACCCGGTACTTCGGTACCAAGTCGGTACTAAAAAAAATGAAAATGTTACGGTACCAGGTTTTTTTTTTTTAAGTACTGGTGGTAACGAGTACCCGGTCAACCCGGTTCTTGATGCGCTATCCGAAAGGTGCGCAGATGCGCTCTCTTCATAAAAGCACTGAGACGTGGCGACATCAAAACGAGGAAACACACCAAACTAACAAAACACTTTAAAGACACCCAGATCAAATGAAAGAGTTCAAGCAGGTAAGTTTCATTTACATTTTTTATATTTGTGTTTCCCATACATTGATTTATTTGAGGCGGCCCGCCACAATATCAAAACTCACAGCCACAAATAGATTTTCCAAAAGGCTTTGACTTCGTTGAATAAACATGAGCACTGCACGTGTCTGCACGTGTCAAAGTCGAAACCCGGTGCGGGTGTTTTTATATCACTGTATTTCTGAAGGAAACGGCTGTCTTCAGAAAATTATGGATGTCATTTTCATTTCATCTTGCCTGTAATGCCTGAGCAGCGTTTGTGAGCTGCCACAAATAGACTGCAGGTCTGTGGGAAACGCCGCTTCTGTTATGAATATTATTCAATATTTTAATTTGAATGTCGGATTGAA